TGTGCTCCCATTCCTGTAACCATTTACCCCAGTGCCCGGAAGTACTGCTACTGAAGTAGCGAGGTTGTTCCTTTCTGTACAGTACATCTTTTAAGTCTGAAATTAGTTTTGTAATGAAGAAATGACTACTTTTCTTAAACAGAATTTGAAAGCTGAATGGACATTAAAAGCACCTGAACTGCAGAAAATGAACAGCAGAGGCACATTGCTGTGTAATCTAATTTCTGCTGTGACTTCTCCTGCCAAACTGAGAGCAGTTGCAAAATCAGGTATGCATTTGTATAATCAGGTAAGCCTAATGTTTCAGGAACTTTTAATACCTCTAAGATAAAAATGAAAATATTTCACCCTTGGATTAGCTTTTTGAGTATTTTCTTCTGAGAAGTCAGTTAGCCATGTATGTTCTGACCATTGTTAGCTGTGATGCTCGTTTAAACTGTCGAACTGCTTATTCTGGTCAGTGTTCAGTGTTTCACATACCCACGGAGACTGCAGGCAGGACAAATACAAACCCTGCTTTTGCAGATACGGAAGTACCTGCTCACCTTTGCTGCCCCAGAGATACCTCTGTCATGGCCGCGAGGCTGTTCTGAGTCATGCCAGGCAAACACATAAAGGTTTGCAGAGTCATGGGGGTTTTGTTAGAAGGATGATGAGGACATGGTTTGCCTAAAAAGTGACCCTAGGTGAACCTACTCATCCTCGTGTGATAGCATGGTTAATGCTAATCAGTATTTTAGTTGAAACAACATGATGGAAGGGAATCAACTCCATATCCCAGCATTTGGCCCCCATTCCTGGACAAAAAAGTGTTTCCAGTCTGGAGCTTCACCTAAATCCTTTTTACCGGTAATCTGATTTTAAAGCGAGCCAATCTATTTCCATGATTTTCTGTACTCCAGTGTTTAAGTGGTAATTTGTTTTACAGAAACCAGTAATTCTACTAAATATCATTCAAGCTGTAGTTCAAGGCACATGGTACCTAGGGTGTTTTAATGGCCACAAGCACATTTTCAGTCATTTCTTGAATTTATTTCCAGACTTAGTCAGTTCAAGTGTGTTGGCCCTCACTGGTCATCTGCAAAGGACTGGGAGGATGGGGACTTCCAGAGGAGGATACCTATTTGGCGAGAGTGGAGCACTTTCTTTTTCACATCTCTTTGTAGTAGCTGCCTCTGGTTTCATTCTTCTTTAGATTTTAAATAAAAATCTTTCAAAGAACATTTTAGAATCTTACATGGCATATTTGGGCTCCTTCCTCTGCTCTTTTCTCTACTCCTGTCCATCCAAATAGAAAAATAATTAAATAGCTAGCATATAAGAGCAGCTGTAATCCTCCGGACTAGAGTATTTGCCCTCCAAGACAAGAGCTGTACTGTGTATCACTTCATCTCAGTTATAAATACCAGAATCCAGCTAATAGAGCATGAAGATTTACAGGGCTTTGGCTGGGGTCTGTGACTTCTCTTATCTGGTTTATTTTCTCTTGCCATCCTCCAGCTGCCACTAATGTGGTGCTCGCTGTCCAGCTGGTACTGTGGGGTGGATGCGTAGCCTTTTCCAAGGCAACCGTTAATCTTTCTCTGTTAATTGCTCATCTGGGAATACATATGTGCAGGAGAGTGGGAAGTGATTATCCTTGCAGTTCTCTGTGGCGTGACCGCGTGCCCCAGCTCTGTGCTCTGACGGCGTTTTACAAAGCCCATGTAGCCCTGGTTCCAGAAGCTTTCCAATGATGTTTAATTAGTAGGGCTGCCTGGGTGAGTGCCTGCCTCCGAGAGACAGTAAGGCCTTCACATGGAACAGTAAGGGCTCCACATTGCAGTCCCTGTCCTGGAGCACATGCTTGAGTCGTGCTCACGACAAGGTAAGGAGGAATTTGTCCAGTTGGTATCACGAGCTTTTTGTGCAGAGGTATGGTACTGCTTAATCACAGAATCATTTAGGTTGGAAAAGACCCTTAAGATCACCATGTCCCACCATTAACTGCCAAGACACCATCAAACCACATCCCTAAGTGCCACATCTACATGTGTTTTAAATACCACCAGGGATGGTGACTCAACCACCTCCCCGGTGGGTAAAGGAGTCGTGAGCAAGCAGTGCCTTTGGCTTTGGTGTCTGCAGTGACTGCTGTGGGCTACTTTGCTGTTTTATGTTTAGTGCTCTCCTCAGAGCCTCAGCATTTTCCATCTAGCCCTCTCCCAGTCAGGGCTGGGTACAACCATGTTCTCCGTAGGCAGTAGACAGGTTCCTTTTGGGAGGAGGAAGTGATGTTATCCGTACGGATGTCAGTAGGCCTCACAGCTAGGGCACAGACCTCTGTCCACTGCAGCTGTGTATTTAGCATAGTACTGTGAGCAGTAGGACTGCTTATACATCACGCATCTGTGCATAGTTAGATGTGCATCCGTGTGCACAGCCACCTGCTATGTATGTGCTGTACATATGTGGTACCACTTACAGTACCAGCTGCCTGGAGCAGCTTAAAACATAACCCAACGTTAAAATGTATAGAACAATTTAAATAAGATACTTGGTGTTACAAGATTAGCACTCAGCTACTTCTTTAACGTTATAATGAGAGCTATGTATCATCTTTTGAAGAGGAAATGGAGTGCTGGGTTTTTGGTGGGAAAAGGCCCATATAAGTCTCTCTTGATCCACAGGTAGCACAATGTTAAATGGTGAAGGAGGAGCTCCAAGAACTCAGGAATTCATGAAAAATAAAGGTCAGTAAATGTTTCAGGATGTAATAAAGAAATGTACTTGGTAATTACTGTTAAATATGTAAGTAAACATTTTTTAAATGTTGTATATAAGTCTGCTTGTAGCAGTCCCTACTAGGCTGAAATTTCACATCACCATCACATAAGGAAACTTATTGATTACGGCATGATACTAAAATTAATTGTAAACATGCCTACCTTCAGTGTCTGCTTTGAAGACAGGTGAAGTGGGGCTGTGTTTCCAGAATCAATATATACTTCTGTAGATGTATCCAAGGATAGCTACTTTAATATAACACATGGTTTTTGAGAAAATTCTAATAGTACGTGTGTATGTGGTTTGAAACTTTTTAACGCCGTATTAACATTATATTTAACACTGTATTTAACTAATGATATCTGTGAAATGAGAAGCTCTTGTAAAATGGACCTGACGTTAGGTCATTCAGAGGTAGTGGTACCACATTTAGAGTGAACTGGAAATAACTCCTGGTAGGTTAAGCAGCTTCTTATTTGGGGGACTATTAGCTATTGTAACTCAGAATATTGTTCACAAGTTCTTGAAGTCTTAAGTATTGTTGGAACGGCTTGTGACCTCTAACATAGCCTTTGTGCATCTCTCCTTTTACAGAACTGACAGCTGTTCAACAAGCCATGTCTGACGTGAATCACAGTTACGAGGATTTGGGAGTTGTATTGAAGGAGAAGATTTCAGAACTAGAAAGTATGCTTTCAAAAATGCAGAATATTCAGGAAGAATCGACCTCGATGATGCAGTGGTTGCAAAAAATGGACAAAACCGCATCAGATTGGGAAGCTGCTCCAACAGATAGCGAAGCGGTTAAAGCCCAAGTTGAGCAACATAAGGTACTTTGTGACTTCAAAAACATACTCTTTCTTGCAGTTATTGGTCAGTTATTTGAAAAACTGGTATCTCAGACTAACTTGATGTTGCAGAGAGTATTTAAATGATCCTGGTAAGCGTGCCAGTCAGGCTTAGAGCAGATCTGGCAAACTGTGTTAGTGGAGTAAAAGGAGCACTGTGTCAGAGAGAAGGAGTTGTGCACATCAGAAAATAGCAATTTTGGTGGCTGGTTTAAGTAGGTGAGGCTATATTGATTATGCAATAAACTTTTTTTATCTCCTTAGTTGTTTAGAGCTGTATACTGGATTGCTATTAATCTGAAGGGCTGGATTTATCCAAAAGCTGTTTCTGCAGCTGCTCGTTCACTGACACTTCACAGACCTCCTGCTCTCTGCAGCTGCAGCAGCTTATACCTATTCCAAGGCAGTGTTTCTCTTCAGCAGCTTTGTCATGCTTGTTAAGTTACATCGCTGCACAAGTCTCCTCCCTCCTTTTCAACTGACACGAGAAAACCACGGAATCAGCAGTAAGCTTCTGTCCTGTTTCAGCGTTGGAGGCGAATGCTCCCCTAGCAATGAAGGCCAATATTTACACATGTAAAGGCTCCTCTGTAAAAGGAAATCTAATGGATAGGAAAAACTTTTGCCTGTGATTGTGGATAAACAAGGACAGAATTTGATTCAGTGGAGGTATTTTTATATTTGGTGTGTGACCCTTAAAAATTAACGTGAGCAGCTACAAACTTTCTCAGACTTGGATAACATTCAGTCTTAAAACTCAGGCTAAATATGGAAGAAAATTAGCTCTTTATTTTTTAACAAAGAATGTGCAAACCTAACATGACTGTCTTAGTCCCAGTGTAGCAACAGAAGAGCATTCACAGGTAGGTGGAAAACTGAGCGAGTGTTCAGGCAAGAGTCATCCTGCTAATGCAGTTGGACTTTTTACTAGCTAAAAGTTCTAAGTCAAGCACAGGTTCATTCAGTGTTTATTTTGGTGGGTTTTGGATAACTAAAATGCAGCTCCACGTTGTTACTCAGCATTCATGTAAGAGCCGTTTGCCAGGCATAGGGACTATTCACTTCTGTCTGTAAGAACAGCCCGAGTTAGGAATTGCTGGGGCATCTCCGTCTCCTGGGAGGTCTGCGCTTCAAGCTATGGTGCTCTTCATAGTTTTAGACAATCTACAAGAAGCAGTCTCTCTGTGATAGCAGGACTCCTACTGGGGTAGATGAGGCTACACCTCTCTGTTGGCACTAGCAGGGTTATTTCTGCTGTGAACTGGACTGTGTGTTAGTTTGGGTTCTGTACAAGAACAGATTCCAAGTGTATGTGAATATGATGGGACCTAGTGGATCTTATTTATCTGAATTCTTCTGGTTCAGTCACTTGTTCAAATTAAACAATAATCATTATTATTAATATAGTTTAAATCTTCCAGAAAAAATTGACCAGCAACACATGCCATTATAAAATGTTTTGAGATTCATTGCAGAAAATTAGTGTGTCGGTGCTAGATATTTATTGTTTATCATCATGCTTGATGTCTCAGTGTTCCAAACTTGAAATGTCACACTTGAACCTTCTTCTTTAGTCTCTTATTTATCTATTTTATCACTTGAATCTGCAGCATTTTGAAACGGAATTAAAGCAGAGTGCAAATAAAGTACAGGAACTAAAGGACAAAGTGACAGAGCTGTTGGAGAAGAACCCGGATTCCCCTGAGGCACCCAAGTGGAGGCAAATGTTGGATAAAATAGGTACCTCAGTAAAGCTGTATTATAGCTCAGACTGATTTGGAAGCTGTTTTATTATGAGCTTTTTTATGTATTAGCAATCACTTGTATTTTTAATATCTTGCTCCCTCCTACCCCTTAAATTCTGGGGAAATACCTCCCTTCACGAGAGTGTAGATCTGGAGTCATTCTACTGATGTCCATGGGCTTTGAATTTGTATCAATCAGTGCAGCTGAGAGAGGCTACAGCCTGACTCCCTGTGTGAGAGGGCCTTATCTTTTTCCCACTGTGTGTGGCTACGACTTGACTGCTCAGTTATTGCTCCAGATACGTATGTTGTTATTCTTACCAAATATAACAAATTAGGTTAATTATTTCATGGCAACGACAGTTTGACATGTTGGTAATGCTTCTCTGCACGCTTTTCTCCCATGCACTAGTGACTTCTGGCATTTTGTTGTTTTGGTGGCATTTTGCCATTTTCTAAAATTGATTCCATAACTTTGGCCAAAAAAAACCCCAACTGTGTTTGGACAATAGATTTTGAGATACTGCAATGCATAATTTTTATGAGCTTTTAAAAATTCTTCTTAGCTTTGTCATGTCTTACGTAAATTATAGGTCAGTCATGTTTTATACTGATAGATGTTTCTATGGCTACATCAGTAATAATTTTAAAGCTGAGATTTACTGATCTGTCCTGTTTGTAAGTGAAACTCTGAAAAGTTTAAGTAACAGGTAAGGTCTCCAAGAGAACTTGAATAGCGCTGATGGAATCACCAGAGGTCAAAGACTGTGAAGTGGCAAAAGGAATTGAAAAAACATGGATGAAATATGTAGAATCACAGAATGGTTTGGGTTGGAAGGGTCCTTAAAGATCATCTAGTTCCAACCCCCTGCCAATTCGGGGACAAGGAGAGTTAGCAAAATACCAGGGCTGACTGAGCAAGCACTGGCTGTCACAGTGGGAAGGGGGAAGTTAGAAAACTGTAAAACTCAACGGCTGCTCTGGAAGCCACTTGCTGCAAGGGGAAGGGAGCACACACTGGCCGAGGTGTGAACCTGAGCTCACACAGCACTTCTGAAACACCTGTGTGCTGAAGTGTTCTCACCTACCTGCCACTTGGTACCTGTTTTGGATGTTTAAATGAGACAGTTAATGTCTACAGGCTCCTAATGCAGACATTTGAAAGCGGTGTGCTCCTTCAGGGTGCTGTTCAGAGTGGAAGCCTAGATTACGGTTTTTGCTCACCCTTGGAAAGGTGTCAGCTTCTGTTTACTGAAGAAGCAGGAAAATGTGTATCTAAATCAGACACCTAAGTTAAAAGTGAGTACAGCCCTTTGGCTTTTATGTCATTTGCGACTGAAGCCTAAATTTGGTGTTATTTCACTTAGTAATATTCTCATCCAATTTTATTACATGTTGTATATTCATTGCTCTAAAAATTCCGCACGTGGCTGCTCTAAACTGCAGACCTTCATCCAAATGTATACGGATCTGACTGTTGAAAGATGTATTTGCCGAGTCACTGCAATAAGGCATCTGGAGTTAATCAGCAAGAAGGCTTGTTAGAGAGCTCTGTTTATGTTTCATATGTAGTCTGCTGTCTGAGAACCCATCTGCCAGAACACGCAGGCAATATGTTAACATTATCATTGGTAGATTCCAAATGGAAAGAGCTCAATCAAGTTACATCTGAGAGACAACAGAAACTGGAGGAGTCTTCAAATTACCTGACCCAGTTCCACACGGCAGAAGCTCAGTTAAAGCACTGGCTTGTAGAGAAGGAGCTAATGGTCAGCGTGCTGGGGCCACTGTCAATTGATCCTAATATGCTGAACACACAAAAGCAACAGGTTCAGGTGAGTCATGCCAACATGCATTATTGATTTCAGTTTCTTCTGCTGTTTTGCTGTTAGCGAAGTACTGTGTTGCATTTAGAGTACAGCACCATTAGTGTGAACTATTACGTTTGTTTGTCGGCAAATACAAGCTTGAGTCATGCTTGACTACATTAATTACAAGAAAAAATTACCCTGAGTGAACAGAGATCAGAACAGCTAAAGGAAAAAATTGTTGAGGAGATACTGATCCTCTGATATATTTTTGTGTTTTGACCATACGGTGGTTTCTCTGCAGTCAAATGAAAATGTTCCTTTGAAGTTTTATTGATTTGACTGTGTATGCAACATTTCATGGTCAGTCCTCATATACGGTCTATGCTGTAGAAGTAGCTTTTTGAGATTTTATTCACTTGACTGTGCCAGTAGCTAATAAAAATATGAAGGCAAGTGAAATGCAGAACTGTGAAGAGATATGGGGCCAAGAGTGTGAAAGACAGGAGAAAAAGTGTAATGAAAAAGTGGAGTAATTTGCTTATGGAAATACAGCAAACTGCAGGCAAAAGAAACAAAAGTTAAATCAGACAAGGTTGCAGGAACTAGAAATTTTAACTTCAAACATTTCTGTTGCTGCCAGTTATTTTAAACAGTGATGAGGAATTTTTATTTTGCAGAAATACTATTAAAGCTGGCATGCCAATATTGATTAAAATGAAGTGTTTAAAACATGAACCGTGTTCTAATGCTATGTGAAAATGACTTAATACTGGTGTGTAAGTGCTTCAAAAATCTAGACAGCTGGCATAAGACTATCACGTATCACCTAGGTGTCCTTAAAAGTTAAACCTAATTAACTTAGAGAGAAAGGGTTTGGCATGTTCTGTAAAGTAAAACCATTGTATTTGTCCCTTCTTCTGCAAGCACTATGACTTACTGTCAAGAAAAAAAAAATACATACTGGGAACCAGTGATGTAAACTTTAAAGGTCTTACAGTACAAATTCAGTTGTTTTGTGAGTTATCCAAATATTCTTGGTGCTGTAATAATACACTGCAGTATTATGTCACAATACACTTGCTTTGAAGTTCTATCTTAAGACAAATATCGAAACTGTCTAGGAAAGAAGACACTGCTTGAAACAGTGATTATTTTACTTGGTACGGTTACTTAATTACTATAGTATTAACAGAATTCATTGTTTACTTGTATCTGCTGATTGAATTTCTATTAGATGATGTGTAAATTAACCTCATTTTTTCTGGTTCTTTGATGTAAACGCTTGGAAACAACACAGTTTATGTGTACAAGACACAATTATAGAAGACACCGGCTTTTCAAGTCGGAGATTGCTTATGCAATAAGCACTTAGCTACAACAAATTCTTCATGAGTTTTGTCAGAAGCACTTTGCTGCCTTTTTTTTTCAGGAGGTAAATGCTTTTTACAATTTCTTTTCTTCCCAGATTCTCCTCAAAGAGTTTGACACCAGAAAGCCACAATACGAGCAGTTGACCGTGGCTGGCGAAGGGATTCTGAAGAGACCTGGTGAACATCCACCCTCCCACGAAACTGTAAAAGAGCAACTGGCAGCTGTGGCACAAAAATGGGACAGTCTGACTGGCCAGCTGAGGAACAGATGTGACCGAATTGACCAAGCTATTGTGAAAAGCACACAGTATCAAAGTCTACTCCGAAGTCTGTCTGATAAGCTAAGTGCCCTGGATAGCAAACTAAGCAGCAGCCTGGCTGTGAGTACACAGCCTGATGCTGTGAAACAACAACTGGAAATTGCTAGAGAAACAAAGGAGGAAATAGAACAGGAAATGAAGAATATAAATGCAGCTCAAGCTCTCTCTGAAGAGCTGTCAACACTGGTTGGAGAAGAGTATTTGAAAGCAGAACTTACGAGACAATTAGATGGCATCTTAAAATCGTTTAAGGATATTGAGCAAAAATCAGGTTAGTATTTATTTAAAGAAAGAGAGTATCTAAGGCATAAAGTAAAGCATATAGTGTCATTTGTCTTCATACAGGTGTTGAGTGAGCTGAGCCTAATGCCAGGTCTCTATCTAGTCCAACCCCCAAGCACTTATACATTAGAATTATGGAGAGTTACCCATACCATGAAAAGGTAAAAACCATACTTAGGATCTCTAGTGAACAGCTTGGGAGAGAATTTGAAGCACAGTGCCAGGGCTGCTTTTCTCATCTCTTCCTTCAGGTGCATCTTCACTGAATTTGGATACCAAAAGAGGAGGCTTTTCATTGAGCTACATACCTGTATAGGTGCAGAGTGTAAGCCAGATTTTGGGGCAAGCACCAGTTAATGGCTTGGTGAAATACAGTGGTACTTGTATAATCCTGCTTGTGGCGAAGAGAGCTGGTAGTCTGCAGCCTTCCCTTACCCTGTGAACAACAGAACTGAAGAAGTAATGCACTGCAAGCAGTATCATACTTTGTTCTCCCTAACAGCCTCAATTTTAGCTTTTTAATTTCCTCTGGTCGAGAGGAACTTCAAAGGATCTCTCTAAGAACACATATTGCCTGCAGGCCGTGAGTTAAACACTGCTAGGCTAGATTGCTTAATACTCCCTGTGTTTACACTTCTAATACCATGAAACACGACTGTGTGGTTTTACCCCCAAACTCTGCCCAAATAGGATTCATGTAGACACAGATTGGCTAAGCTCACCTTATCTGGTTCACGTCCAAATGCCTCAACTCCTCTGATGTAGTGTAGGCACAGGTCTGACCCTTGCAAGAAACTTGGTTGCCTTGCAGTCGAACACCGCATACTTTAGGACCAGCTTTCCTTATGTTAATGATCATTCATAATAGAATCAATATTAATTACTGTTTCTTCACTGGATACTCACAGGTTCTGATAATGAACCTCCGTGCTGTCTTCTCTTTTGTAGATAACCATGTTCAGCAGCTTCAGTCGGCGTATGCCGCTTCTCATCAGTTCCAGCAAATGTCCAAGGACTTTCAGGCCTGGCTAGGCAAAAAGAAAGAAGAGCTGGACCAGGCTCGTCCTGTATCAGCCAAACTTGATGTCTTGCAATCCCTAATTGAAGAACAGAAAGATTTTAAGACGACCATGACAGATCAGATTAGTTCGTATGAAAGAATTGTTGCAGAAGGAGAAAGTATCCTGCAGAAGACGCAAGGAGCTGACAAGGCAGCATTACAGTCCCAGATTGCCACACTCAGAAGTAACTGGGATGAAATTAATAAGCAGGTAAAAGAAAGGCAAGATAAATTAACAGATTGTCTGGAGAAGGCCCTCAAATACAAGCAGCATGTTGAAAATCTGCAGCCATGGATAGAGAAATGCCAAAGCAACCTGTGTGAATTGAAAGTTAGTATCAACCCTGTTGAAATAGAGGATTCTATTGTTCAGGTGAAAGCCTGGCAGAAGGACCTGGATAAACACCATGGGATGGTGGAGCTATTGAATAATACTGCTGAAAGTTTGCTCAGTGCCAGTCAAACAGATAAAGAAGTCATTCAGGAAGAAACTAAGGTGCTGAATCAGAAAGTGAATGTGGTCACAGAACAATTACATAAGAAGAGAGAGTGCTTGGAGAGTATGGCACAAAGGCTGAAAGAGTTTCAGGAATCATCCAGGGAAACTGAAAAACAGCTTAAAAGTGCCAAAGAACATCTGGAAGCTCACGACTCCCTTGGACCGCAGTCATTCAGTAACAAACACCTGACGATGATGCAGGCCCAGCAGAAAGCCTTGCAGGCTTTAAAGCCTCATGTTGATTTGGCAAAAAAGCTTGCCCAAGACCTGGTGGTAGAAGCTTCTGATTCAGCAGGTGTTTCTGACCTTTTGCTTCAAGCTGAATCTTTGGAGCGAGAGTACACTGCAGTGAACCAGCAGGTTGAGGACAGGTGCTCGTTCTTAGAGACAAAACTTCAGGGAATCGGCCATTTCCAAAACAGCATCCGAGAGATGTTCTCTCAGTTTGCAGAGTTTGATGATGAACTTGATAGCATGGCTCCAGTGGGGAGAGATCTCAGGGTGCTGCAATCACAGAGAGAGGACATCAAACATTTCCTGAAAAAGCTGGAGGATCTTATAATGAATAATGAAAATGCTAATAAAAACTGTAAAATGATGCTAGCCACAGAAGCAGAGGCTTCTCCTGATCTTGTTGGCATAAAGAGAGACTTGGAAGCTCTAAATAAACAGTGCAACAAGCTACTAGACAGAGCAAAAGCCAGGGAAGAGCAAGTGGAGGGTACTATTAGCCGCGTTGAGGAGTTTTACAGTAAGCTAAAAGAATTTTCCAGTCTGCTTGGGAGAGCTGAAGAACATGAAGAGTCACAAGGTCCTGTTGGAATGGAAACAGAGACTATTAATCAGCAGCTGAGTACATTCAAGGTAGGAAGATTCCTTTCTTACTATTATGAAGTATTTTACCACACCGCCATTTTATTAAATATCATCGTGAAAAGGAATGGTTAAGTGCAGACCTTGGAGGACTCACAGCAGTTAGTTCTACCTGTGTGCTTTTTACCTGTTTTAAATGGGCTATCTTGTCGTGCTGCAGAGCAACTTTCCTTGGCGATGGCTTGGCAGACGGGGATAACTGCATCCCAGCTCATAGTTTTTGCACCCCGGTTCCCTCTTTGCCTCTCTTTGCTATCTTGTTTCCTTACACAATCTGTCAACCTCTTCTGGTTCTGAGAACTGCTTAATGTCTCTATTCTGACGTCCATGTGTTACACAGGCTTTCTTCTTCACCGTGGTGAGTTTCAGACTCCAGTGTTAAGTACCAGCCCATACTCTCTTTGCTTATCTGAGCAGTTTTTTCACATGGGTGTAGGCGTCAGCGTAGGTGGGTTTAAGACCTTACCTTTTGCTTTTTTCTGTTCCGATACGCTGCCCAGTTTCACCTCACTGAATCCCACCCTTACCTAGAAACATCCCTAGTAAGAAGAAATCAGGTAAAATAAACCCCCTTTTATATTTGGAGTTTACTGTAGCATCCTTATCCAAAATGCACTTTGGAGCTTCCGTGCATGGCTTTTTTAATACGTCAGTTAGCATTCCTTGCCCATCTTAAAACGCGTGCATCGCAGTGACAGTGGGTGTAAATTGTGCTTCGGTGCTGAAACGAAGTGCAGATGCTTGCTCGTTTTAAGGTGACAATAAATGAATTTCCAGTGCTAGCAGGAAAGATTTCTAATCCTACACATGTAAGCAATGTCTCAAAAAGATCATAAATCCTGTAATGGCTGTATAGTAGCAGTGTGTATTCTGTGCTGCTTTGGTTTCATTTCAGTCTGATACCGATTCAAACGTTTGTATGACTTGTATGTTAGTTCACAGTTAATCATCAAAACAAACTTCCATAACAGGATTTGATAAACCATGCTGTTAAAGCGATGACCTTGGGAAAAAGGCATTACGTGCTTGGCCCAACAGAGGGTGCATTTTGCCCGTTTAAAGTAAACTGGATTAGAAAGGAAAACGAAAACTGAAAACTTTAATCTGGGAATTTCGGATGCAAGTTACTGTGAGTTTTGATGATCTTTCAGAATGCATAAATAGAGACAAAAATCTTGAACAAATAGTTACATTATGAGGAGATTCCAGTAGACTGGGAGGATTAAAATTGTACGCCAGTCTGTCCTAACAAGTCTATCTCCATTTAAAAGGGAAACAAATGGCTTGTCTTTGTCTATGGTTAGTAAAACACTTTGGATATGAGAAAAGAGCAAAAGCTCCTACTGTGATTGCTCTTGCTTATGCTGACTGTACAGGATTTCGGTTGTAGCCAATTTGTGATCACTGATTTGACCACATTTCTTGCATTTTCCAACATTAGGTGCAGCTTCAGGTCTTTGTTACTCTCTAGATACCTTTTTTTGGCTACAAAGAACAATGCTTTCCGGGGTAAGCAGCCTGGTGAGCAGAGAGGAGAAGAATCCAGTGCCCTGTGCGTCAGCGCTGTACTTCGTCAGGGCGTTGGGTGAGACACAGCGATGGTACGATTCAGGAGCGAGGGCCTGCTCTGGTCGGCGCAGGCCTGTGGGGAGGTAGTGTCCCTGCGGCCACAGAGCTGGTGTGGCACAAAGAACCTGGAGAGGTATAAAAGAGAAATGTGTTGTGCTCAAAGCCACTATTTTAGGCAATGCTTTTGCTTATGAGTGAAAACACAATGAGGTTAAACAGGAGGTGAAAAATGACGAAAAGGTGAAGGAATGGTTTAAATTTAAGTGAAGAGTGAATGGAGGCATGAAGCAGAGTGGGAGCCTTTGAAGAAAGGAGATAGGAAGACTAGAAGGAAGCTTTCTAGGTGAGAGCAGCGGGGATACTGCTAGCAGGAGGATCAGGGTCAACGCTTACGCTCCCAATACTCCGTGTGAATGCTGCTGGGGCACAGCAAAATTAGAGTAGGCAACGTACCTCTTGGTACTCTACCCTTCCAGAAAGCAGTTTTACCTGAGGCAGCAATCTGTAGTGAGACTGGCTCCCACAAATCCTGCTCCACTCGTGGTGTATTTGCTCACATGTTTGTGCACGTACGCAAACACACGCAACCTGAAAAATGTGGCTGTGGCCACCAAACCACAGTCTAGCTCCTTACAGCTTTAACTTCTGCGGTCAAGTACAATCAACTTTTGTTCCTCAGGAGTAAAGCAAAAGAGTTGTTCTTTGGTAGGTAGGTTTATTCACAGGGAATCTTTGCTCTCTTCAGGGAAGGATCTCGTGTAATGAGCCAGAGGTAGTTTTTATGGTTTCACCAATTTTTATGTACAAAGAGTTAGAGCTTTGTGCGTCTTCTTGGCACGACATTAAAATGTATAGTTATTTAAAAAAAAAAAACAGGCTTTGAGTTGTATTTAATATATATATCAAATACATATACGAATACGTACTTGTTTAATTTATATTCCTTCTTTGTAATCTACTTATTCCAGTTAGCATAGAGTGTTAAATTGAAAGGAGTTATTGTTAGCGTTAAACTATTTATTTACAGTTCAGATATAAAATTTGCTTTCTGTAAATAAAAATCTCCAGTGGAGTTCATTTGAAAGTCGAACCGTGCCTCTTACTTCACAAAAGTACTCCAGGAAGAGTATAATCAAATGAAGAATTTGTCTCAATTAATGTAAAACACACAAAGTTAATTACTAATTAACTCAGTTTTGTTAGACATCTTTTCCACAAAGTCTGTCTGCAACGCATAGATTGGTACTAAAAGGAAATTTCAGTAAATGACATCTGTTGAGGTACACTGAGTCTACCACCATTCTTCAGAAGGATTGTGCAAATGAGCTGAACTGAACACCCTGGTTTTGGGTAGCCACACAGTGCTAGGACGTTTGCAGTAGGAGCAGTATTTCCAGCTAGTTTCTCTCTGAAATGGAGAAAGAAAAAACCCAGAAGTTGAATTATTTTCCTTGTGGAAACCTTTGCACAAATCTTTCTACTACCATTAAAAGGCATTCTTCTTAGCAAAACTGACATGGCACTGTTACAGCTTTCATTACTGTATGGTTCATTTGATTTTTGCCTTTATTTTTGGAACAAAAGTAGATGTAGTCATTAGAGTTTGCCTTCTAATTGGACTTTATAGGAATTTTTAGCTAGCCTGAGTATTCCTGCCAATAAGCTTGAACTAAGATTTTAATTGGCTTATGTTAGTTGCGTAGAGGGTGTCTGTCCTCTGATTTCCACTTTGAAGGCAGCTAATGTTGAAAGAATAATCAGATGTTTCTCCTTATGCTCAGTAAGAAACTGCAAGTGTTGCATTTGCCATGCACTGGTTTACAAACCCTGGAGTAAGATACTGATCCTCCTTGGGATTTACTACAGTTTGGATCTGTGTTGAAAAGCAAAGGTAAAATAAATGGCTGTTCAAACTTTGTTTTGAAATATTGAAAGTAACTGATGCATCATATGAAAGTCTTCAGTAGATACGGTGAAAAATGGTATTTTTAAAATGTTAATGAAATCATTTTGCTGTTGGACAAATAGAGATCAGTTTCAGTTCTATACTTCCCCTGTAAAATGGTGCAGCACTTTGAATTCAGGAAGGATCTGTTTGTGGGTGTTTTGGGTAAGAATAAGCACGAATGACAGGACCTCAAAAAAATCTTTTCTCATCTTTACCATTATAATGTATATCCTCAACTAGAAAATTCAGAGGTATCTCTTTGGCATAATTTTAATGTTATGGCTGCTCACCAGAGAGAATTTGTCTCGCGTGACTTTAGTATTTTGATACGTAGCTGAGTGTGTATCGAGTCAGTCGATAGCCAAGAAGCGCGGTGTGTTTGTATTTCTCGCATACGGCGCGTATCCTGCTGGCTGCCGAAGGCGGAAAGCTCCGGCTGATTGTAGTTAATGCCCTGTGTTGAGTTTTAGCACTCAGTGCCATATGCTGTCCTTGAACTGGGGTCTGAGTGTCACCGAGGGCTGCTGTCAGACAGGCAGGGCAGGTCTCTGGTCGTTAGGGGTATGGTTTCTGCTGGAGCAGAGCAGCTTGGTCATGACACCGTCAGACCTGTGCGTCTCCCAACCCTTCCCTTCCCCTCCACGGTTATGAGCTGGAAGTGGAGGTGCACAGTGTTGAACAATATTTAAAAGATGTAAATGTCCAAAACCTGCATCTTCGTCCTGTTAGGCCGGTTTTGGTGTCTCTCTAGGTCCCTTACAGTCTCGCAGGTACAGATAATTTCCCCCAGCATTTCGGAGGGCCGGTCGGTGGGGCTTGGCGCGGTCCCCGAGGGCGGTTGACCTGTCAGACGACAGCAGTTGCCGCAGAGCCGGGAACCAGACTGAAGGCAATCAGAACTGGACTGGACGTCTCTCTTTGCATGTCAAACACGACACGATTCCGAGACCTCATCACTAAAGACAAGCTTGGGTGAGGTCTTTTAAAGAGCGCACAGCTGAACTTCCAATTTAACTTCCGCGTGGAAGCGTCCATTCAAATGACGGCTCTATGCGACGGGGCGCGGCGGTGGTTAAGAGCCAGGCGGATCGTTACC